ATATATATATATATATATATATATAGAGCAAGAATTTGTAGAAAAAATTAAAACTAATTTTGATGAATTGTTAAATGCAATTAATTAAATAAAATTAGCAAAATGTGATAGGCTCACTTGAAGGATAGCACCGGTCCAACTTCACTGAAGATATCTTTCAGATTCTCTTCTGTAGCCTCGTACGGGATATTCCCGACTGTAAAGCAATTGTAAACATTGCAATAAATTAATTATATCACAGATGGAATAAAAGATGTAGTGACTTGTATGTTAAATTACTAACCAAAAACACTTCGCATCGACTTGTCCATCAGGGACTGATCCGAAATAGTTGAATTGCTCATTTTTGTGCTTTTGTTTCTTCCTGATTTCTGTTGAAAACTTAATAATAATAATATACGAAATACTTGCAAGTATCCGTCGAAACTTACAGCAACAACTTCACACCAGTTCAATACTATTGATGCTGTTGATTACAGTCCCTTTCATAAGATTATCTGCTGAAATGACTCTAATGACGCCTCAGTCGGTGTGACAGTTTCCTTTAGTTTATTGTCCACTCCCATCGACCGATACTTAGGAATTTTTCAGTGGATCACCTATCAGATGTAATATTTAATCAGTAAACAATCAGTTACCACTCGATTTAAATTATTGAAAAATTGTTTAAATGTAATGAAAATTTTAAAAGTTTTAAAATGTAACTTTAATTTATTATATAACTGATTATATGATGAATTTAATAACATAATTTATTGTATATCTTAAAACAGAAAAGTTGAAATTAAAGAATGGAATCAATATAGCATTTCATAGCATTTCAAATATTATTAATTAAATTAAAAAGTTATGTTAAAAGATTTATATAGCAATTTAAATTTAGCAAAGTTTTAATTTTTTAATAAAGTTTTTAATTCTTTTTACTTAAATTTATATAATTTAATTAATGTACTTTTAAACTAATATTATTTTTAAATTTTTATATATATTATCTTTAATAATATACATGAAAATTATTATATTAATTTATATATTTTGAAAATATATTTGTTTCAATTATTATCAGCTATAAATATTGATAAAAAGCAAATATGTATAATTATATATATATAAAAATTATGTAAAGTATTTATTTATTTATATATACGGTATTTATTGTATTTATATATTTTTTATTTTTTCGTAATATATTATATTTTTTATATACTTGTGACATGTTCAGTTTTCTTCTAGACTCTCTTTTTCATTTTTTATTTTACAATAAATATATTTTTGTATCATGTTACAAAGTTGAAAATATTTAAAATTAAATATAAAACTCTATTTTTCTCCACAAAATTGGAATTTCTTTTCACGAGGGCATTATTGACATTTCGCGCCATTTCATTTTATGGTTACCATGGTACCTCTGTGACCACCAAACAGATTCTCTTATGTCAGAACAACATTGTTACAGGATCATCCAACAATATCGTAATCTGTGCTGAATGTGACACAATGAGAGCACATCCAGCATGGGTCGACAAAGTGCAAGAAAAGTCAGATCAATGGTAAAGATCAACAGATCAGATAAATCAACAATTATATCTCAAAATTATTGAATGAGAATGTGAAGGATGAAGATGACTTTTAAACAATATGAAAAGAAATAGCGTGTATCGTAGCACAAATTGTTTATTAAGTCTACAAGATAAACAATAAAGTATAAATTTGAAGAACAACACTTGTATAAATATATATTAACTTTATAAAATTCGTTATATTGGTTATATTATATTGGTTTCTGATTATATATATTTCTAATTTTATATATTATTGTCTATTTTTCAAAGGTTTGATAAAACTATTTGTGCCAAAATAAGCTATTTTTTTATAACTTTTAACATCACTAACATCTTTATTTTTATGCTTTCTCGTCGATATTTATTAAAAATATAAAGTGAGTTTATTATTTTAGTATATACGACCTTTGCTTCAATCCAGATGGCACACAATTAGTTGTTGCATCAGGTCAACAAGTCCTTGTATATGAGACCAATGATGGTGCTTTGATTCAACCATTAAAAGGTAATCATCTATTCAATAATTGATAAAACATATTCTTTTTCTTTAATATATTTTTATTTTCTTATAATATTCCATAGGGCATAAGGATACAGTATATTGTGTATGCTATGCAAAAGATGGTAAGAAGTTTGCATCAGGAGGAGCAGATAAAAGTGTCATCATTTGGACTTCCAAGTTGGAAGGAATATTAAAATATTCGTAAGCTGCTTAATATTTTCATAACTTCAATAAATATGAATTTTTGACTATGATTTTTTTTGTTCAGACACAATGAAGCTGTGCAGTCTATGCATTTTAATCCCGTCTCACATCAGCTTCTCAGTTGTTCACTCTCAGACATCGCCTTTTGGTCTGCAGAACAGAAAGCAGTGCAAAAACACAAGTCTGGAGGGAGAGTCAATTGCTGTGCATGGACAAGAGATGGACAATATCTAGCCCTTGGGCTTGCAACTGGATATATATCAATAAGAAATAAAGTATGTTGCAAATTTTGTTTAAATAATATTAGATATGTGTAATATATTAAATTATATAATTATTTTTATAATTTTATAATTATTAATTATACATTTTTTAATATTTTTAATATAATAGGATGCCAATTTTCTGAAAAAATTTCTAATATTATATCTAAAGCATATCTAAATATTAAGCTTTTCTGAAATTAGAAATCATAAAAAATTGCACATGAAATAAACTTATGAAATAAACTTATTTTATACTTATGTTTAAAAATTATCTAATTTTAGAATTTTTAATAAAAGTTAGAAAGTCTAGAAAATCTTCAGGGAATTCTTAGGAAAGCTTTTTGCAAGATCTAACTGGACTTCTGTAGGAATATTTTTAATATATTTAATAAACTACATATGTAAATGTATAACAATGTGTATCTTTATATTATTCTCAATATAATTTAAGTTTGTATGTGTATCTTTCAGAATGGCGAAGAAAAAACGCGCATTGAACGGCAACTTGGAGTACCAATCTGGAGTTTATCGTGGAATCCTTTACAGTATTTATATATTGGAAATATAATTATTATCAATAACAAGAGATAAAGAAGTTAAAATATTTTACATGATTATACTAATGTCATTTAGGGATGACGCTACGGACGTTCTTTGCGTTGCTGAATGGAATGGAATTATCTCATTTTATACTATTGGAGGGGAAGCTATCAGAAGAGAAAGATCATTCAGTTTTATACCACTTAAAGTCACTCATTTTCCGGAAGGTCAATATCTTCTCGTTTGCGGCAGTAATAAACAATGTCTATTGATGACGCATGACGGTATACAGTTGGTTAACGTAGGTGGTACCTTCTCATCATGGGTGTGGAGCTGTGCTGTTCATCCGACTGCTTCGCATGTTGTAAGTTCTAATAAACTATGCTTATGGCATCGTTTGTTTTAATAATTCGCTATTCAGCGATTATTTACAGGCGCTCGGTTCTCAAGATGGAACGATAACATATCTACAGTTATCCTGGAATGTTGTGCATGGTCTGTATGGCGATAGATACGCATACAGAGAGAACATGACTGACGTGATAATACAGCACTTAATCACGAATCAGAAAGTTCGAATTAAATGTAAAGATCTGGTGAGTGGCATTGGCAACTTTCCTCAAAAATTTTAAGAAAATGTTTAAATAACTCTTATTAATAAAAGTTAAAATAATAGTATATTCAAATATATCTATTCCAGGTATGCCGAATCGCAGTTTATCGAAATAGACTAGCTGTGCAATTACCTGAGCGTGTAATTATTTACGAACCATCCGGCTCCGGCGATGGAATGCACTATAGAATACGAGACAAGCTTAATCAAACGTTGAATTGCAATTTGTTAGTTGTCACGTCGAATCATTTGGTTTTATGTCTGGAAAGGCGTTTGCAGAGTCTCTTGTTTACCGGGATAATAGAGAGGGAATGGATACTCGATGGACTTATCACTTATATTAAAGTAGCTGGCGGTCCCACCGGCCAGGAATGTTTGATAGCTGGTAAATTTTGAAAGAAATTTGTTATTTCGTTAAATTTTGATAAATTGAAAATTGTAACATTGATTTGACGTTAGGTTTGAAAAGCGGACATGTAATGAAGATATATCTCGACAATCCATTCCCCGCGCATATTGCAAAAATTGAAGATGCTGTGAGATGCTTGGATATCAGCTCCTTAAAGGAGAAAATGGCAGTAGTCAGCGAAGCTGGCATCTTATCCGTATTCGATCTGTGCACTGGCGAGAAATTGCAAGAGTTTCAGAATGTCAACAGTGTGGCGTTCAATATCGCTTTCGAGGATATCATGTGCTTTGCGGGTAACAACTACCTCGCGATAAAAGTTGCGAACTTTTCCGAATACAGACAGAAATTCTCCGGATTTGTCGTAGGCCACAACGGCTCGAAGTTGTACTGCCTGAACGGTTCGTCTATCATAACGACAGAAGTAAGTCATCGCGACGTAATGTAAATTAGTAAAACTTGTACTTATTATTATTATTACATTTCAATATCTGCAGGTACCACTATCGTTGTTTATGTATCAATATCTGGACATCGGATTGTATAATCATGCTTATGACATAGCATGCTTAGGCGTAGCCGAATCGGATTGGCTCGCTTTGGGGACGGCATGTCTGGACAATTTGGAATTGAACATTGCGTACTCGGCGTTCGCACGAGTAAAGAAGCTACGCTACATAGAGATCGTGTCCGAGGTGGAAGAGAAGTTAAAATCAGGCGAATGGGGACGGGAAGCTTGCATGGCTACTGCCGCAGCTGCCATGGGTAGATTGCGCGATGCAGCGAAGCTCTATCAGAAAGCCGGTTTGCAGCAATATGCCCTCGATATGTACTCTGACTTACGGATGTTCGATATCGCTCAGGAATTCATAGCTTCCGGCAATACACAGGTTTGTTTATTAATTAATGTTTTAAACCTACATTATAAGTACATACATAATACAAATAATGAAACTGACTAATAAAGTAATTATGTGTAAAAGCTGCATAATATTTATTAGACATTGAGTTTCTTTGAACCTTTCAGGATCGCACAGTATTACTGCGACGTCGAGCAGAATGGGCGAAAAGCTTAGGCGAACCACGTGCCGCAGCCGAGATGTTTCTCTCCGCGGGAGACGTCGATCGTGCCATCAGTATTATTGCCGAATATGGTTGGATCGACATGTTGATCAAAGTAGGCAGACAACTGGATAAGGCGGACAGAGACAATCTGTCCATGATCGCTAAAAAACTTAAACAACTGGGTGCTTCGCATGGCGCGGCAGAAATTTTCAGCCGGCTCGGAGATGATCCTGATGTTGCTGATGTGCTTGTAGACGCGCAGGCATGGCCTGAGGCCTTCGAACTTGCGGAAAGAAATCCAAAGTTGAAATCACGAGTATATGGGCCGTATGCACGATGGTTGGCGGAAACCGGACGATTTTCTGAAGCTCAAGAAGGTACGGTTTGCCATCAACGTAAATACACACGTGTGTAATGTTTAATATCTAATATCTATTGCAGCATTCCAAATGGCGGGACAACCGGAAGAATCTATACTTGTACTCACGATGTTGGCTAACAATGCTGTGATAGAGAAAAGATTTCGCGACGCCTCTTATTTTTATTGGCTTCTGTCGCAGTTGAGTTTGAATCTATCTAAGAGCATAGAAGAGATAAAAACGATGTTTCTTAGCTATTCCGACAAAGCGGATATCTATTATGCATATCACGAAGTATACAAGTATTTGGTACGAATAAATATTTGATCATAATGTATTATATATATATTTTTCTTTATGGTCTTTTTTCATAACATTGCTCATCTTTCAGGAAGAGCCTTTTACATCTCTGATGCCAGAGGCGTTATTCAATATTTCCCGGTATTTGCTCATGAAAATGCAAAACATACGCCTAGAAGGCGTGTCGAAATTAACAATAATGTACAGTTTAGTGAAACAAGCGCGAATATTGGGAGCTAACAAACTGGTTATGCAATTGTTGGACCAATTACGTTCAATGAAGATCCCTACGAATCTCTTGGCGCAAGTAGAGACATTGACCTTATCCGCCAGATCTTATCCATATCGCGATCCAGAGGAGTTATTGCCTATGTGCTATAAATGTTCAACGTTCAATCCGTTACTGCCGACGAATAATGTCTCCGGTAGTAATTGCACGCAATGCGGTTTGAAATTTCAGTATTCCTTTGTTATGTTTGGTAGGTAGCCGATTATAATCCATAAAAATTCGAAATTCTTAAAATTCTTCTTGTAGAACTTTTTCTTTGAGCTGACTAAACTAGTCTGTTTATAGAAATCCTGCCATTAGTTGAATTCGAATTGGAGGATGATATTACAGACGAAGAAGCGGAAAAATTGATAGAAGAACCATTACCTTCCCCTGATGATCTCACAGTTACTGATCAATTTACTGTAACTTCCAACGAAGCTGATCTCTTTACTGCCCGTTTAATGAGATATGAGGTAATGAGGTATAATTAACTGGAGTGAATATACAACTGAATGAAATATTTGCTTTATTAAAAAAATGACATATTTGTCGTAGGAAAAATCTAATAATTCTACGGTAACCGTTGGAAGAGGAGTATTGAAAAGTATGGATCCGTCCACCGTGATAATTATTAAGTGGCCTAAACCTTTTAAGACTAGGTACTTCAGAAATCTCTTACCTGATCTTCAGATTAGCCAATGCAAGTGTTGTTTAAAAGTAAGTTACAATGATATTTTAAATATCATTCTTCATAGGATTCGGTTCTACAATGACTGTTATGTTGCAGTTATTTCATTCAGATGACTATGAACTAGCGTTGTTACGACATGGACATTGTCCATTCTGTCGGGCGCCGAATGTGACTGTGGGTTAAGACAACATGGAATTATAAACTTGTATATTACGAGTACTTGATGACTGTATTTGATTGTTTTTGTAAAAATGTTTTAGAAATATTTTATTCTTGCTTGTACAGCATTATCGTGGCAATAATACACACAACTTGTTTTTTTACATGAAACTTTTTGCAATTACCTTATTTTTTTTCTATTCGCGTTTCATGATTATTCGAATAAATAAAATAGGAATAGCTCGCAAGCGTCGTACAGTTAAATGAACAGTAAACTCGAGAGTTCGGCTATGTGCTAATTGCGGTGATTACTTGAGCACACACGTTCCGTTATCGGTATCTCCAGAGAGTGTAATTCTTGAAATCAGTTGCACTTCCGAACATGCTCAGTCTACTATTAATTGGCTGCTTTACTCTCGTTATACGCGCTGAAATTATTAATTGGGAGCAATCGTCGAGTAATAATGCATTGGAGCTTAAATCATTTAATGATTCCAATCATCAGGGAAGGTGTAAGTTATTTAAAAAATAAGTATCATTTTTATGTCTATATTTTTATTAACATAGATTTATAGATATATATTTATAGATTTATAGATATTAGCTTTATTATTTAGCTTTCTATTAAATTATCTCTTTATTTTTTTTAATTCTTAGAAATAAAAACAGACAATAAATTAAATCGAAATTAAAGTTAATCTATATAGAAATAGACATTAGATAGATGCAAACGACGTGATTTTTGTCTCTTTGTTTTTCAGTCTTTCCATTATTTAGCGTTGTGCGTTTTGCAAATTCTCAATGCTTATCGAGCACCGATCAACTTAATGGCACGTGCTTTACAAGACGAGAGTGCACTAATTATGGAGGTAATCCATCAGGACCGTGTGCTAACGGATTGGGCACGTGCTGCGTATGTGAGTAGTATAAATTAATGTATCTTATTTGTATATCGCATTATTCATGTTATAAGATACATATTATTATTTGTTTGTCACAGTTCAAAAGTCATGCGGCTCCACAACCAATATGAACAATACGTATTTTGTAAGCCCGAGATACCCCATCACTTATCGAGGTGGAGAACGATGCACTATTACAGTGCAGCGCTGTAATTCTAATATATGTCAGGTAATTTTCTCAAGAATTTTTTTTGAGTATATAATATTAAAAAAGTTATTGAAATTTAAATAAAATATAGAATAAAACATACAATTGAGATTGGAATCATAAAGAAGTCAAAGTACAAACAATATAAATATTTTTTAAAATATTTTCATGAAAGAAAATTAACATTTTTTTAATTGATAACGAAAATTTTAATCATAAACTTCCTAAAATCAAACATAAGAAACAAAAAAATTATAAGAAAATTTGGATTCTTATAATTTGAAATTATTGTCGATTAATTTTATATATAAAATGTAAAAACAATTACTTAGATTAATAATTTTAAAATAAAATTGCCATGTCAATTCTAATAAATCTTTATACTACTCTTTATAGCTACGACTAGACTTTCTGGAGGCTACTTGGGTCCAACCCAATGCAACTGGATTTTGCGATTTTGATGTATTTTTGGTATCAGGAGGTTCGTCTACAGTACCTAGAATATGCGGGGAAAACACCAATCAACATGGTAAATTGATAAAAATTTTCAAATTGATGAAAAAGTGAGATTAATTATACTCGTTTCAGTGTACGTCAATTTCAATGGAGCAACGCCAATCACGATATCCATCGATACCAACGCGGATTATGCGTTTGATCGACGCTGGAACATAAGAATTCAACAAATAGCGTGCGATTCTGTGTGCATAGGTATGCAAATATTTTTGTTATTACTTTGAAATACAAAACTATATTTTTTATTTATTTCAGCTCCTAATGGATGTTTACAATATTATAAGACTATCTCCGATACTGTAATGAGCTTCAACTTTGGTACAACAGAAAATGTTCGAGGTACGCGTCAATTAAATATCATCGCAAACGGCAAACGAATATCTAAACAAAAATCTATTTCAGCTCCCCAAATTGGAACGCGACAGATGGTGAATCATCGTTACGGTGTATGCGTTAGGATGGCTTTAGGATATTGCAGTATCGAGTGGTCGCAAGTCGATAGATTCTCCTTTTCTGTTTCTGGAGACACAGGATCGTTTGATCCAGACATAATAGGTAAATCGCGCGGTTTACTAACTTTTCCTTAAAAAACATTTCTTATATAAATTTGAGAATTATTAATTGCGTTGGATAAGCTTTATAAAACATAATCGCAAAATACTTCGCCGTGGCACTTAATTGTTACGTATTATTAGGCACAGACTTGGTGGCAGAATCTGGAGCAAGCTGTACCAACGATTTCGTAATTATACCCGATCCGCGTGAAAACGGCGTTGCAGTTAATACAGACAGATTTTGTGGAAATGGATTTATAACTAAAACATGTAAGTAATCATAATGCTATTTGATATGTGTCATAAAGATACCAAGTGTTACTGAATATTGAATTTTTAGCGGATTTGAAGCCTTTCATACTTTATGTTGTTACAAATGGCGATGAAATGCAAGAGGCTCAAAATAAAGGCTTCAGACTTTCGTTTCGTCAGCTGCCTTGCGCAGTTTAAGTACTGTGCTACACTGTGCTCTTCATATATTTAAATATGTATACATTATATACGATTTTTTTTTATAGGGACTTAGTTATATTTTACTGTGAATAGGCATAAGTATTTATTATGTAAATAAATATCTCTATACACATGGCCAATATATTATCTACTTAAATTCGCGCTACCAGAATGTGTATCAACTTGCTCTTTTATAGCGTCGTACCAAACACTGATTTTCGTATGGGTCAGCAAATCTTGAAAAGCATCACAGCCTTCGATACTTTTCAAAACACCGTACATCGCAAGATCGGATAAATTAGGTTTGTTGCCGCCCATGAATGTAGTGCCACGCACTTTAATAGCGCGCAGCCAATGATTTGCTTCATCATACAATGATTGTCGCACATCATCTTTTAGACGATGCCTCTTTTTGAGCCTTTTTCCTATCAACCACATTGCTGTCGCACCCACATTTACTATTAACAATCGCTCCCATGTTGGGAAGTACTCCTCCCATTTGCCGACCTAAATTAACATTTTTTTTCATTTATGAGATAAAAATATTTTACCAAATATTTTACTATATCTTTTAACAGATTCACTTACATCTGAAAACCAATTGAAAGTTTTGTAAGATTCATTGAAGGTTCTGTAGACGTTTGGCGAAAGAGTATGAACGAAAACCTCATCTACCCATTTCCTCCAATTGCGTTCCTCACTATACATAAAGGAAAGGTAAAATAGTATAAAATGTAATTAATCTAATTATTTGTACATATTTAACATTTTACGTACGTAATATCATTCATCGATCTATTTTTTGGAAGCTGCTTATTGAACATAAGGAAATACTTATTTATGATCTCGTATTTAAATTTGCCATGTTCGTCATGCATGGCTATGCTTGGATAATAATTTGCCAAGTCTTCAATCTTGTAAGATGTATCATGCAAATAGGATGCAAGGAGCGAAATTATCATAGTACTGTCATTCAAGGGCTGATAACCCTCTTCCACTTTGGTCAAAAGAATCGGAACCTTTTTATATGAAGACCATCCGATTTCTTTACGAAGTACTGGATCCACCTCCACAACATCATAAGATATTCCATAATAATCCAAGAATACTCTAACCTGAAATAATAAAATTAATTTCATGTAGTCCTGATGATTCTAATGAACAATGTAATACAGTAAGGTATATACGTTCATTATAACATTTATTTTAGAACTATTAGAGATTTTCTATACTGAGATTGAATTATTCTTTTAAATTTAGAAAAATAAGTTAGCAGTTATGAAATAAATATTTTGCTAAACGTGATCTTGCAATCAGCTAATGTTTGTAATAAGGCTTTAGTCAATTTATATCCACTTCTACCAATATGTATTAATTTTAATCTTGATTTAATTTAGCTTTTTTAATTCTTAGAATTAAAAAAATATAAATCAAGATTAAAATTAATCTATATTTTGGTAGAAATGGATGTTAAAGTAATATCTGTATCTTTTTGTTGTTAACATGAATAAGATACCTACTTTACAGCAAAAAGGACAAGTTTGATATTGATACAATGTAAGCTTCAAACCAGTAGAGTCCACCGGGAAGACGACCTGTAACAGCCGTGACATTTGACACATCAAAATTCAATCCAAAATTTGTCATGTCGAATGATTGTCGAAATACCTTCCGGGATGGTGTGACGGGTGGTTTATGTTTAAGCAGTACAGTCTCCTTCTGTGTTCCTTCCAAGGCGATGTTCTTTCGGTCTTCGCTGATCTTGTAGTAGGCATAACCTGCGCCTATGACGGTGCCGGTAGCCACGCCAATCAGACTGAACTTCATCAAACTCCGAATCTTTTGTGGTTGTTGTACCATCGTGCAAAAGGATCCCGCAATGCCATTCTGACTGGCATAATAGCATTTACTCAGAATCTTCGCCTTCTCCGTAAACCGGGCGAATTTGCGTACCGCGGCCATTCTTTAGGTTATCAGCGGCAGTTTGGCGCAGCACATATAACATATAGCTTGCTATCAGTCAACTGTGTTTGTGTGTATGTGTGTTTTTGAAATTTAACAGTGAAACGAATTAATAATATTTAGAAATAACGAAAGAAAGAAGTAAGTCCTGATTATTTTTATTTTCGAGACTAATACGTCCCTCTCGTTTGAAAATTTTGGAATTTTTAAATTTCTCAATTCTCTTTATTCTTATGTAACATTAAAGTCAGAAAGTTTTGAATTCTTGTCCTTATAATAGTAAAAATGATATTAATTGAAAAAAATGGTTTTAAAATGGTTTTATTATGCATTAATGAGGATTCAGTACTACACATATATTTTTTAAATGATGAAAAACTTGAATATACATTTTTAGTATACGTTATAACATAATATTTATTAACATAATATCTAATATGTAAAAAATATACAGAATTTATTTTTATAATTTTTAAACATTCTTAAAATCTATATATGTTACTAGAGAGTAAATAAATGATCGAAATAAATAACAAAGTGAATATTTACTATCCGTTATATTAAATTGATTGAATTAAATTTCATATCAAAAATGTGGTGAAATGCTTTCTTACAAATTAATGGAAAGATAATGAATTAAATATCCTGTAACAGCAAATATATTTGTTGATAAAATTATTCATATCTACAAAATTCATTCATATGTTTACAAGTTTGCATGCAAGATTATTTAAATATATTCCTTAAAATAGATTTGTTCCAATTTAAACAAGTCTGACATTATAATTCTATGTTTAGTTTTATTATACAACTATTATTTTAATTTATATATATATATATATATATATATATATATATATATATTTTATATATATATATATATATATATAATATACACAATATAAATCTGGCGGTACACATAGGCAGAAAATGTGTTACCAAAAATTTTATAAGAAATATGATTTCTAATATGTATGTAAATATTTTAATCTTCTTAAAGTTCTGTCATTTGTTTCGACAGATACCAAACTTCGAGATACACATTTAAAAAACTTGTTTTATAGATTAAGAGTATAAATCATGCTTTTACAGACATTTATAAATTTACATTAAATATAAACGATTAAAAATTAGTCCATCTAGAACTTGATTTAGGTTTTTTAAAGGCAGTATTCGTTCATTTGCGGAACACAATGATACAAAAATATTCTATCGTTGTTAACAATAATTCTTTAGGCAGTTTAATAAATATAGAGATTCATTAGGTACTATTTGATTAAATCTGAACACGTATATCTCCGTATATATTTCTTCTGACTGTATTACTTTTAACGTTTCATCTTATCGAGAATCGGCACAACCATGTCGAAGGATGGTCGCTTGCCTGGATCCTCATTCATGCAAATTCGAATAAGCTTTGCAAGATGTGGAGAAATACCCGGTGGAATGCTTACGCGTAAATCTTCCAAGGCAATCTAAAATAAATTATCAGCACTTAGTTTAATCAATCATTAATCAAATTTGATAAAGATCATTGTACAAAATAATTCGACAAGCTATTTTTCTGCCAGAGTTACAAGAGGAAAAAACTTTATAATATATTTTTTCAAAGTAATAGACTAGATTATTATCTACCTTCATGCCACATTCCATAGGCGACAGATCCGCAAATGGCACTTCTCTAGTCGCCAATTCCCACAGAAGAACAGCGAAGCTCCACATGTCGCTAGCCTCATGATTGATGTCCGCCGAACGTTTACTTAAGGCTTCTGGTGACATCCATGCCGGTTCATAAATTCGCCCAACTTCTTGGAAGGAGAACTTAGCATCCGCCATATTTACACGAGCTGTTAAATCCTCGTCAATCTGAAATGAAATTTGTATTCCATTAGTTAGACGTATGCTTCACATATTCATAAGCAAACAGATTTTGCACATTTTACTGTTTAAGTCTAGAACTCACCATTATATGCTTACTGTTGAGATGAAATCTGCATCTATTTTGCCGATCTAAACCATGAAGGAATGCCATAGCTCTAGCAATATCGAGGGCTAATCGAAGAGCACGCGCTGTATCCACCACCACACCCGTCCCGTCATGCAGAAGATGATGCAAGCTACCTCGTGCCATATACTGGGAGACAGTCGCCAACTGCGGCGGTTGATTCACGCAGCCGAGGACTGGTAGGACATTCGGATGTGAGAAGATTCTCAGCTTCGGAAACTCCTCGTTGAAATCTCTGGAAATGCGCGCAGTACATTCGCGGATATTTAATATCTTGGCAACGATATCATTGTTCTGCCATCGCCCTCTCCAAGTCTCGCCACTCGGTGTGCTGGCGAGATGTGTATGAAGCGATAGGTCTGCCATACTGATTCCTTTATGTCTTGAAAGAGTTGCATCTCCTAAAAAATAATATAAAAGAAAGAAGATATATACATCTGTTTGACATGTTTGTACAATCTTCTTTTTAAAAAATACTTACGGCTTCTGGTTTTTAAACCTAGCCAACTTTGATCCTTGAATTGTATCTTCTTCAAGTCTTGTCCGTATTCAACTGCTAAGTCTAAAATAAGGAATGTATTTGATGTGCGAATGCAAAAGATGAAAAAATTAATTTTCAATGTACAAATTGCTACATACCATGCAATCTCTTGGCCATGATGCCTCTGGCTTTATCAAGAGGTGTGTCACCATCCTTATTGGCGATGGATACGAGTGCACCGGCTGCGACTAATTCTTCAGCAACTGCCTGATCTCCCCAGAAGCAAGCGTAATGCAAGGCAGTATTTCCATGTTCATTTGTGACATTTACGTCAGCGCGGTTTCTAAGCAACTGCAAATTTGTGTTATCTTCCTTAAACGAATAACTTTAATAATCGCATTATCAAATCCTTTTTTCTTTACCAACTGTACTATCTCTTTGTGTCCATGTGCTGAAGCTAGATGCAATGGAGTATCATCACCTCTGTTGGTAGCGTTAATGCGTGCTCCTCTACTGACCAGCAACTCTGCCAATTTGAAGTGTCCTTCTTTAGCACACCAATGAAGAGGACTAAATCCATGATCGTCCCTATATAGAACATGTTTATGAATAATTTCGCAATGAGACTTAAAATCTAAATTATAAAACATAAATATATTTGATCATGAATCTTGTATGTTGTAGTACTTAATAATTATTCAATAGACTTTCTGTTTTTGTCATCAATTATGTATCATTTTTAATAGACATGTTTTTTGATATAGTTGGCTCAAAAAAGCAAAAACTATTCTATCTAATATTTCAATAATTAATTTAATAATATCAATTGAAAATCCTTTACAAAATATATCTTATTAAAATATCACATCAACCAAAATTCAAATTTCTCTTTTTGAAACAGGTGTTTTATCAATTCTATCACTGGACATATAGTGATATCGCAATAACTAGATAAGAATAATTTTAACCAACATTTATAATAAATATATAAATATTTATAATTATTTTAGAATAATTATAATGAATAGTTTTTTGAGACATTATTTAAGGACCAAGATCCAAAGTTACAGATAAACTTGTTATGAATCATATCCAGTCAAACGTTGTACAAATCTACAATTTATTTGTAGTACACTTGGAATATTCAGAAGATGCCTCTCATACTCTTTACAGAATCGTTTGAATAATCCAGCCAACCTAATTATAGAACCAGAGAAATCACGTCTGGCAGAGTCCTTTCCAAAAAAGGAATTATCTGAAATATTTACCCTTGATTCATATCGTGCTCTGTGTCATCCAGCCAGACGCGGACCTGCATGGCATTTCCTTCGCGACACCACTGAAATATATCTTCCATTTTTGCGTTGCTATCATAAAGCGAGATAAACACACGGGCAACTCCGCGAGCGAGCTATATCAAGTCGGCGACGTTCGCCAACCCGTCGTCGTTCGTGGCTCCGAGAAACGAACCAGCCGTCATACGCTAAATATAGCCATGTTCCTGACACTAACACCAGCGTGGCAATCTTATTATTCGTACCTATATGCGTAATGCTTATGTGCGTAACTGCAACTCCTTGTTTACGGAAAGAGAGAAAAGAAATGTTCTCGTATCGAGATCGGAGCCGCGCGTCTCGATGCGCGGATCCTCGTTATAAATCGTCTGATGACCTGTGCCTGTGCCGATCGCATCGATTGCGCTGATCTCGTCGCACCAATTTGTGCGGGTGACCATATACGAACCGACGGCGAGCACGCACAGAAGGATCGACCCACATCAGTCCGCGGTGGGCGGACACCGTCATCCCTCTTTGCACCGCATCCGCGTGGAGCAATGTGGAGCAACGACTGGAAGAATGAGACGCCAGCTAGGTTCATCTTTATTCATCGCAAACCTCATGCCTCATCAGCTGTCGATAAAGTATTTGTGTCATTTGCGATTTCTCAGAGAGAGAATCATACGAGATTCTTTCGTGAATTTCGAAATCGAGAAAATCAAGAATGAATCGAAAGCTAGACAAGGTATCAAGGGAATATGACAGAGAAGACGCTTCAGACATTAGCACAGAGAATTCAAAAAGTAATTCGTTTTGAATCCTCAAATTATGAAATATTTTCTTCTTTCACATCCCGTTTCTGAAATAAGTTCATAAGAGTTCCATAGGATTTCACAAAATGCCACCAATTCTGAGTTCTTTTTCAGATACAGATTGAAATCATGATTCACTCGATTTCATTAGAAGAACTTCTTTCAAAGCAACTTTGATTTAACTTCACAAAAATTAAAATATATACAGAAGCTTTTTTGAATTATCGAAAAGAAATTTTTTTGAGTTTATAACGATCATCTGTGCTGAGCGCTATCTAAAATTTTAATTGTCGAATATGAATATAAAATAATAAAATAAAAAGGAGCAATTTAAAATAAAAACTAAACTTAAAAACTAAAATTATACATAATAAA